GACTGAATGGTATCAGTGTTTAATTGCAACAAGTGGAGTCGCCCCCTGCTTGCCATTAGACAGAATGCAGGTTTAAGAAGCTCAGCCTTGTTTAGTCTCACTGAACCACATTTATTTGATGAGTTATTAAAGTTATAGGTTTATTGGTTTTTACTAATTTGTCTAAAAAATGCATTAAAATGTTTTGAATTTGACTCAATTATTACAGTTTTTCTCCTTAAAAAAATACGTACATTTTCCTCAAAATATACTTTCTCCACATTAATCAAACTGATTCACACAAACTGGATAAAAATTGAAAAAACTGGAATGAGCAACTTTATTAAAACGTCACCCGAGGAAGGCAGAAAGCAACACTGACATCAGATAAACATAAAAATACTTCTATATATATCATCTCTCCAAAAACTGTTTGAGATCAGTCCGTTAAAGAGTTCGCCGGCGGTCAGAAGAAGTCCGCCGCCGAGGGCCGTCGCTTGGGCATGCTCTTTGGGGCGTCGGGGCCGGTCTTCCTGGTGCCGTTGGTGGTCTTTTTGAGCTTGCTGGAGAGCGGCGTCCCTGGAGACTTTAAGACCCCGAACTTGGGTTTCTGCTGCGGGTCGAAGGGAACTCGTGACGACCCGTCTGGACTCACCAGCAGGCTGCGATCGGTCTTCCTAAACTCTGCACCGTGACAGGGAGACAAAAAGGAGATATTTAATGTAATGTGAGATGTTTTAATCAGTGGTTTTTACTTTATTTGTCTCCCTGGAGTTTATTTTTATATCGATTTTTATATTTTTTATGTTTTTATGCTGTTTTCGGTTTATGTGAAGTACTTTGGGATCAACGCTAATGTAACGACTGTGCCCAGTTTTTAAACTCATTCTGACATTTAGGTACAAGAAATGTCACTGGGGGCTGTTTATTAAGAAAAATAACTCAGTAGATAATCTGGGAAAATCATCAGCGTCTGTACTGAACAACTGATAACTGGCTCAAATTATTAAGTCCATCTGTCAAAAGATGGAAAGAAACAATAAAAGGAAGTCTCACAAAAGAGATTTATTATGGTTATTATTATTATTTAAGAGTTGATTGTGCCAAATTTGAATTTGAGGAACATTTTTATCTCTTATTTTATTCTCCCGTTGATGAAATGTCTTCGTTATAGTCGTTGTTTCACTGTGTCGGCAGCACTGGGAGTTTAGATTATACACATGTAAACATACTGGACACTTTGAGGAACCATCAATTTCATCTAGAATACAAAAGATATTCAACAGTTTATGGACGAGTTTTCACTTCTGTTTTCTTCAGATAAAACAAGGCTGCAGAATACGAACGTACAGACTGTTTACTGACATTGTGCAGCGTCTTCAATACGTCTTTATCATCGATATAAAACTGCATCCACTTTCTTACCGGCTGTCTTATTGTTCTTCAGGCCGAAGGTCACCTTTTTGGATTCTGATTTGGGAGTTTGAGTCTTCTGTGAAACAGAAAATAAACCCGCTGTTACAAACAATACGATAATCAGAGAGGCAGACGGGCTCAATAAGGAGTCTGGATTCATTATAGTTGAGACATTTCAGAAGCTTTCCTTAGAAATAAAGCGAGAAAGAATCAATTTGGGACAAAATCTTTAACATTTCTGTTTTTTTTATGGATTTTCTTTCTCTGCAGAACGATACGAACAATCAGTTAATCTCTGTGGATCAAAACACATCAACATAATCAAACTGTCAGTAAAGGAACATATTTTCCTTATAGAGCAACAACATGTCCATAAATACAGATTTCACTTTGTACATTTACGAATTCAGTGACGTAGATATAAAATGAATAATAGTTTGATATGATTTCTTTGCAGTGTATTTATGTAGAAACCACACCGCTGATGTTGCTGCATTAATGAGATAAATCATAAACCATAAATCATATAAAAGAACAGAACGGGAGACAAACCTTTATATTGTTTACATAATCTAATTCTGCTACAGATATTCAGTTTATATCTTTGAACAACTTCCTCCTGTTGAAGCGAGCGATTGTCCCTTGATGTCATTTTCTTTTTGTTAAAATAACCGTTTTCAGGGTTCAAACTCCTTTTAAGAAATCATTTTACAGGAGTTTTTCTTCACGTAACAGGACAGCGGTTGTTCACAAACGTTCATATAATTTACCAGCAGGTCTCATATTGACACGTTTAACTTAACTAAAATTAATTTGGGAACAGCCATTAATTGACCATTAATAGGCTGCATGCAGCATTTCCACTGCTGTTCTCTGAGAATCAGGATTCAATCTCCTCTTAAGAAATCATTTTCCAGGAGTTTTTCTGGACAATAAAGAACAGAACTTTATCAAAAACAGTCCTATAATCTACCAGTAGAACGAGTATTGACACAGATAATCCTACAAACAGTGGAGTTTTAAACTAAATACAGCCGATCTAAGGGAGGGACAAAAATACAATCTAATATTTTCCAGGATATTCTGTCATTTTAAATCAATTTCCAGGCTTTTCAATGGTTTTCCAGGACTTGTGTGAGACCTGAAATCTTTCGAGGTCTGAAGGACTGTGACACATATAACTATTACTTTATCATTATACTATTAATCATCTGACCCCGAGGTTGGGAAACACTGCAGGATGAAATTACTATAATAATTACAATAACCATTACAGACAGGAAACAGAATCAGCATAAAGACGTTACTGTAAATACAAACTGTGGATTTAATGTTAAATTAGCCTTTAATGAATATTTATTTAGCTCTTCCATGTAAAGAAACAGCTCATACAGTGATTATAACAGCTGCTCGGATCTGCCTCAAACATCTGTGTGATTTACTTCGGACTCTTCATCACTTGTACCTTCTTTCTGGACGGCGGGGTGCCGCGACCTCCCTTGGTTTTGCAGTAGAGTGGCGTCGGGGTGGCGGCGCCGCTCTGAAAGGTGATGAAGGCCGACCCCGCGGGAGTCTTCACCTTCCTCTGGGACTTTTTAGCGCTCAGAGGAGTTGACGGCTCTCCGACATCCTGACACAGAGAATTTACAAGTCAATTACGTCTCAGTGTTACATTTTATCCGTCTTGTTGATTCTTCTGATCGCAGAAATCGTGAAAATTAATCATTAAATTACAACTAAGAGATGTTTCTGCAACTGTAGAGTTAAACATTCCTATTTTTATGTTACATTTAGATTTGATTTCCTATTTATTGTGTCTGTGTTTTGCTGCGATGGCCTTTTAATAAAGTCTTTACCGTTATTTAGAAACATTAAACAACATTAAACACTTACGCCGAGCAGTTTTTTCTTCTTTACAGTCGTCACTTTTTCTTCTGCAATGCCGTTGATCGCCGCCGCCGCCTCCGCCTCCAGCTCGTCGGCCTCGAACTCGAACACCACGGGGATCTTCCTCTTCTTCTTCTTCTTGGCCACTTTCCCGGAGGAAGAGTCGGTTTCATCTTCACCTCCGACCGTCTGATCATTGATCTCCTCCACCTGGGCTGCCGCCGGCTTCTTTTTCTTCTTCTTTGCTGGTGTTGTCATGGTGATGGGCAGTTCCTCAGCATCCACCTGAGGGGTTTCCGCCACCGCTCCATCCTCTTCCTCTGCGGGCTCTTTCTCATTCTTTTTTCTTTTATTCTTCAGTGGCGTTGCAGCAGATGAGGCTTCGAGTGTTGCGACCTCCTGTTTGCGCTTTTTCTTTGTCTTCTTTTTGAGCGGCGCCGCTGTGACGTCTTCCTCGCCAACTGACGTGATTTCAGCGTGTTTTACCTCGACCACTGCGGCTTCATCAGACTTCTTTTTCTTACCCTTCTTCTTGCCTGGCGTCGTACAATCAACCGGCTTCTCAGGTTCGGCAGTGGCGTCTTCCTCTGTGCTCACGCCGTTGACCTCAACCTCCTCCAGATTCTTCAGACCTTTCTTTGTCTTCTTGGCGGCGGTCGTGGCGTCAGTTTCAGGTGTCGCATTGATCTCTGCTTCCGCACTGACCTGCGATTCGGCCGCAGTCGCGTCTGTTTGCGAGTTCGCCCTCAGGCCTTTGTTCTTCTTTTTCTTCGTCTGCTTTTTCTCTGCCGGCTCCTCCTTCGTGTTATTTTCAGTTTGGTCCTCGCCGCCGTCGGCTGCGCAGGAGGTCGGTTCGCTGGTTTCCTCTGAAACTGTAACTGAAGCAGCCTCCGACCGACCCTCTGGAGCAGCGTCCTCGGTGACTTTTACAGACGAGATGGAGCTTTGCGTCTCTGCTTCGGTCTCTTTGACCGAACTTTGATCCACAATCTGTTCCTGTTCAGACTTCTCAACGTTGCCCTCGCCAGCTGCTTTCTTCTTCTTCTTCCTCTTCTTCCTCTTTTTCTTTTTGTCTTCAGGGTTTGTGGTTATGTCTGCTGGTTCTGCGTCATCTTGTGCAGAGTTCTTGTTTTGCTTGTTGGGCGTGGAAGCCTCCTTTTTCTTCCCTGAGGGAGCAGAGACACAGATCAGTTAACCTGGAAATCATCATGAAAGAGAAACTGAACCTGACCTGGTTCTCCAGATCAAATCACTGGATTAATGGGTAATAAATCCAATAACACGACCTCCACGAGTTCTTTACACAGTGAACATCTCGCTGTACGAAACCAGAGACCGTAAGTAAGAAGGTTTATATTGTATTTAGTCTTTAAAATGCACAGTCTCTAGTTTCTGCCACTAGGGGGTCTCTCACATCAAATCAATAACAGGAAGTTTGATGGTGGTGAAGCAGCAGTGTGGATCTGGGGTTGGTGTCTTCACCACCATTGCGTCATTGCAGTCAGCTTCTCCCCGTTTAGTTTGCCTTCAGTGTTCATGGTTCCAGGAGGTTTCTACCGGAGCCCAATTTCCACAGAGGTCTCCTCATCTCCAAAACAAACCAGACTGCTGATTAAAACCACTAAAACACACTGAATAAAGCAGTTCCACCTTAACAATCACAGCTTCTCACCACGCTGTTGGACAGACAAAGGACGTCCCGGAGGGCTGGCTCGAGCGAGCTGCTGCTAACGTTAGCCTCAGCTGGTTTCCTGATAACTTAAGATCCAGATTCCGATGACTAAAATCCTTCCTCCGGTTCAAATCTAGAGTTAAAAAGCACCAGATCTAAACAGTGGATGGTAAAAAGATGTGGCTTTTCTAAACAGACAGCAGTAAACCATTTGGTACCTTTACTTTTCTTGATGCTGGCGCCTCCTCCCTCCTCCTCATCCCTCCATGCAAGGTTTGTCTCCTCTTCATCTCTTCCTGCTGGGCCGAACATGTCGGTCATCCTCGCTGTGGAACTCCTCTGGAATAACTCATCCTGAGGGGAAGAATGCTCGCTGAGGTCCCGCAGTCTGCAAACAACGAAATGTGGCGAGAGAGCAAAGAGAAAGAGTTAGAGTAGTACACTTATTTTAATTAGCAACATGAATAAAATAACAAATGCTTACTGAACTTTACTGTAATAAAACGGAGATTGTTTGAGTTTTATTCATATTTTTACGTATAAATACAAGTCTTTATCATCACATGAGCAGTTTCCATGAGATATGAGGTCTGTGCAATGTACAGACCGTATAAACAAACAACTTAAAATACCGTATAAATAAAGGTTTACTGTGAGGATTTGAAGGTGTTTTACTGTTCAGAAACTGCATTTTAACCTAATTTTCAACAGTCTTTTTACAAGTCACAGTTTGGCCATAGAATCTGTGTAGCACAGTAAAATAATCCAACCTATACATTGACTATGTGCCAGTCGGCTTAACATTATCTGAAATTGTGCAGATTTCAGGTTTACAGACACGGAAGCTGCACATACTGCAGTTTATTGGTGGATTTTTTGTAGTTAATTCAATCTTTGCATCGTTTTTCTCCTAAGATAACGCGAGACTGACCTCAACAATTCTCACAAGATAAAAGAGACATTTAAAAGTACCGAACATTTCCCTTTGAGGGCGAGTTGCATTAAACTGGCCATTTAATTATCGTCTCCCAGTGTGGAAGCCGACAGCGGCTGCACTGTGGATCCATCCAGAGCGCGCGCCTCATTAAACACACAACAAACAAGCGTCGGTTACTCCACTTTGATGATTGTTGTAGAGTCTCTGTCAATGCTTCTGCTCGCGTCTGCCTGCGACTCGCTAAATCAAAACAGCTTTGTTTCCAGAGCTGAATAGTCAAACTACGGAAAAACAAATCACACAAACAAACACGCCATTAGACATTCTCATCTCATCGACGTGAGTCCAGCATGGTGATGGTAAAACAGAAAGAGTTTAGTTCAGACACTCAGAGGTAGAATGAACAGACTTTTTTCCACAGCGAACGCCTCGCGCTCAGTCACACAGACGATGACTTCTGATGGTGTTGTTCCAAGGGACAGTGCAACTTATCAAGCACACATCAAGAGTTTTAAAGTTCATTAAACTAGTTTAATTTGAATCTAAATCTTACAATAAAGTGAAGAGAATGTGCGGAGAATGGCAGCTTATGAGTTGTTTGGTTCGGGTGTTTATGGATCCACCAACCAGCACTTACGTAATGAGAATAATTTAGAAGTCCAGCTACAACGCGAGGCTGAGCAACAAACTGTAAAGTTTATACAGATAAGTTTATATTTATGATGATATATTGATCCTGTATTGACAGTCAGACCTGTGGACACATGAACGGCTTTGTAGCTCGTGTTTTCTAGATTACGTTTGTTACGACATTAGAATTGTTAAAATGTATATTTCTTAAGGAGTTTTGGTGCAGGGACTTTTTAGTTGGATCAAACTGCTGATTGGATATTGTTAACGTTTAGTCTCCACTACAGAAACACTAGCTGACTGATAAAGGCTGATCAGGTTGTCTGACGCTGACTGCTGTTAGTTATTAGTTTGATTAATTCTTTAACAATGCGAGTATTGATTACTGACGCTGGCTGATCGGGCTAATAATCAGCGTAGTGTGAACAGATCTTCACCTGTAGGACTGGTCCGATGTCTTCGTCACACGGTGCCTCTGAGTCCGAGTCTTCCAAGTGAAGAAGCTCATCATCATCATCATCATCATCATAATCCTCATCCTCCTCCTCCTCCTCCTCGTCTTCTTCTTCTTCAGTTGATTTCTTGCCTGAAAACAAAGAAACCAGTTGACTAAATATGTGACGCTGTATTTCTACTGCAAGCTCCCACTTTTACTCACTGACAGACTTCTTCAGTCTGTGTGTATCTATCTGTATGTATCTTGTACAGACTGTAGGAGTCCATGTGGCTTTGTAATAATCTGTCAGCACACAGTACATTTCCACAGCGCTGCTAGTCTGAATCTGTGTCTGGAAAGGATTTTTATAGAGAAAATAGTTCAGTCAGTTTCCATACCGTTAATCGGCCTCCCCGTCTTCTTCTTGCCGACCGGTTTGCTTGCCGTTTGTTGCTCCTCTCCGTCGTCCCCTTCAGAAGCCTGTCCCGAGTCCGAGTCCGAGGCCGCTTTCACCTCCTTCATCAACTCGTCGATGGCGAAGGGAGCCTGGTCGATAATGGCGCTGAAGATGCTGCTGCAGATGGTTCTGAAAAGACCCCGACTGGCGAGACAAAACATCGAAGGAGCAGATGAGTCGGGCAGATCGAACACAGACAACATCACTTTATATTATATGTGACGCTCTGAACTGTTGCTCAGGAGGGAAAACAATCACAGAAACATGTTTTAACTTGAAAATCAGTCACTGGTGGTAACTTTATTACACATTTATAATCTTAGTACAATAAATCAAACGTGAGCTAAGCCGACGTGGACTTACTCTTTGGTTTTGGCGGCGGTTTTGCAGAACGGCTCGATGAAGATTAAGTTCTGATCGGCGGTGAGCTGTGAGGAGGAAAGAAAAGCTCTTATATCATCTGCTGGATTTACTGATTACTGGAAAACTACGACAACAGTTTGATAAGTGATTAGTTTAAGATCTACTGGGAAAAACAGCAACGAGTCTTCAAACTATTACACAACAGGACAAAACTCTGAGGCTGCACTTTAATGACAATTCATCAAATCGTTGTCGATGTACAACGCAGATACAGAACAGATGTAAAGTGCCTGTCGAGGATATGGAACATAAAACATTCATCCATCATCAGTTCCTGTATTTTGGATTCTTCTTTTGCTTTTTGATCCAACCTCAGATTTCCACTGATATTTAAAGTCAGAGGACCTTCCGTCGGGTCTCTGGAGGTCGTCTGTGGTGGATTTTGAGGTATGTTTAGGATCATTATCCTTTCCTCTTTTCAGCTCCAGCTTCTTTTACAGATGCCGTGATGTTTGATGCCATTTAAATCTATGTGTCCCTGTAACTGTGCAATGTTTCCTGTGCCACTGGCTGCAACGCAACCAGGAAACATGATAGATCCACCTCCATGCTTAACAGGCACCTTAAAGTCAGGACTCTTCAAACCTTGTGTGAGCAACCACAAGTTCCTCCACGCTGCTTTGTAAGACTCTGAGAATGAAAGTCATTCACTCAGCTCGTTTCCACAGTGTGAAATCTAATTAAGACGTCAGTTTCAGGGGAACAGTGGAGGTCAAGGTGCTCGTATGTCGCAAAAACTTTAATGGAAGAATAAAAACCTGCCTGCGTCCATCATAAAATCCAACGTCAGAAGTGTGACAGATACCCCGGTGTGTTTTAGAAATACATTAAAATAGGACTATGTTTTATTTCCCATAGAGAGAGAATCAAACTGTATTTAACTTTTGAACCAGAAATGTCAACCTCATGAGAGAGAGCAGATTCAAGTTTGACAATAAGAACAAGAACTCGTGGGTCAGTTAAACAGAAGCTCTCAATGTATAATAGCTTAAAAGTGGCACTTTGATTCATTAAGCCTCCTGAGAGCCTCCCTGTGACTGCGGGGCCATCGATCCAGGAACTCCTCATCTCATCAACGAGAGCAGAAACATTTCACTCCAACCTTGAAAACCTTCTGAGGGATTTAAAGGAGAAAATAAACTAACAGCAGCACTCGAGTCAGAGAGCTCGATCAATCGCTGTCACCTGCTGAGCATTTAGTTCCGTATTCAGTGACTGACCTGCAGTAAATATGAGCCTTCAGACCCATTCACACAGGACTCCTTAATCTGAATCCACCGTTAAATACCGACTATATTTCTCCAAACACAGAACTTAACGGGCTTTAAATTGAGAGTGATATGTTTATTTATGTGTGTGATCATGTGACTATCACTATTTCTTGTGGTTTTAGCACCCTGATGTGTGTTAAGCATTAAAACTTTACTTTCCAAGGTGCCATTTCCCCCACAGAGGCGCTGAAAAACAACATCATCTGACCTGTTTCCAATCAAACCTCCTCCGTTACAGCTGCGACTCACAGCGTGTCAGCCCCCAACTGCCTGTTATTTATCACATACACAGGGTGTCTGGAGCGCGGCGGCGGCGTTACCTCTGCTGAGCCCACGGTTGCCAGCTCAGTCATGTAAAGGTCCAGGATGTGGAACTGCAGCCCGCTGGGTGCTCCGCTGCCGCTCTGCAGGACCTGCACCGTCAGCAGCTCCAGAAACCTGCCGACCACACTGAGACAGAAAACTGCATTTAAAACGACAACAACGTGACCTGAGTGACCTATAATATTAATATTTCATATTATATTCAGTGTAGAACAGCAACAGTAGAACAGTGAACACAACAACTGCAGAAGGTTTGTGTAAAACCAGAGTTGGATGAATTCTGAGCAAATTATTTCCTGTAAATATTAATCAGAGATCAGTTTTCTTGATAAGATTTTTTACACATTTTTCTGTCTGTATTATGTATTTTTTTTTAATTTCTAACACGTGTACATACTGGATCTGCAAAATTTATCTAAATATTATTAAAATGGCAATATGGCCATGTGCACTATGCAATAAACAGCTTCATGATGAAGTACTGTAGTGCTGCAGATTTATAAAAACATGTTTTTTGGTACAAAACTCCCAGAAAATGTTAAATCTTCATGATTTTAATAGGTTTTTTTTCAGTGAATATGAAAATTGTGATGCAAAAAAGCACAAATCATCACAACACCCTAACACAGACTTCTTTTTGACAAATTTTGCATTTTCTTTTCTTCTATCAGCTCTCTGGTTGTTTTCTGATAAAGTCTGTTTATCAGAGACTGAAGCTCTGTGAATATAGTTTGTGTTCAGGTATCAGATATCGGCCAACTGTGTAGAATTTTTTTACCCCTTAAAATCAAGGAGGACCAGTGACCCCCCCCCGTAAATCTCTGGCGCCCCCTAGTGGCCGAACCACTGTTACAGACGAGGTTTTACTACGTTACCTGCTCTCCCAGTTTTTCCTCTTCAACATCTCAAATGTTTGTCTGAACATGAAGCGAACCAGCTGTTAAAGAGAGAGAGATAAAATAAATCATTAATTGGATTTATGAGCAAATTAAAAACATCCAAAGTGACCAGTGAGGTCTCTGTAGAACCGGGTCGGTACGTGTCCGGTCTGGCGTCGCGCTCACCTGGAAGAACTTGTCCATCCGCAGCCGGTCGATGCCGGTCCACTCCCTTTTGAAGGTCTGCAGGAAGCTCTCCAGGTACAGGAACTCTGCAGGAAACATCGTCATCGTAGTGAGAACTACACCGTTTCCTCCCTCAGGTGTCGTCACCTGATTTACATGCTTTTACTAAAAAAATCAAAACGAAGGGAAACTTTAACTTACGTCCATCGACGTCCTGGAAACTGTGGATCAGACTGGAGATCTGCTTCGACAGCTCCTCCTGAAGACAGAAAGTAAAGACTGAATCAACGGAAATATCAAATCATTATCGGCTCACAATCAGTAACGTTAATCAGCTGATCAACAACTGTTTAATCAACAATAATCTCAGTTCAGCCTCTACAAAGAGAAGATCTGCTGCTCTTCTGTGTTTTATACATCTGAAGATCTGCTGCTCAGAATCGTTATTTAAAGGGTTGTGACAAAGATATAGTCAATATTATGTTTGATGGCTGAACAATAACTGACAAAAGATTAACATGAATACATTTAGCTTTATGTATTGCGTCCTGTAGGCTGACAGAATATCGGTGCCGTAAGAAGCTTTAAAGTTCATTTTTTCTAAAAGCATTTTTAGTCACATTTGTTCAAACTTTCATTATATCCTGACAGTAGAACATCTGGTTCCTAACGGCGTTTACAACGAAAACAACCAATCAGAGCAGATTCTTCCTCACTTCAGTGTGACTTTATTTTGCTTTATTACCTCCTGAAATGTTTGAATCCTGGTTCTGGTCATTTAACTTTACTTTGAAAAGTGTTGTAGCATAAAGTTATTTATTATTATTATTATTATTATTATTATTATTTCTCTTTATCCCAAAAAAATCAGTGTATCACAGATTGATCTCACACACACACACTCACACACACACTCACACACACACTCTCTCTCACACACTCTCTCACACAC